CTTTAATCTTCAACTTTGAATCGGTGGTTCAAATTTGAACTGGCAGTTGATGGTTCAGCGACGTAGCTCAAATTCATTAGATTCAGTCCCAGGGATTGTAAAAACAATAATATCCATGTTTACACAAAGTAATGTTTACATAAATTAATTAGTATTTTCTGGGAACCGTTATTACGAAGTATTATCACAAATATTAAATATTAGTTTATCTAAGGTTTAGTAAGATATTGTATTAGGGATTTGCAAGAGATATAAAGATTTAAACTATCATAAAAAGTTTAAACATGAGAAAAACATAGACTTATGTCAGCTCTAGCTGAAGTACCTGGTGAGGCGTTGCCCGTATAATTTCAAAATCATCCAACACTAGACAAAAAGTGAGCTTTTGCACCATAAGGATAAAAAATGGATATTCTGCGCGCATCTATCTCGTGTTACCCAAGGGACCAGGAGGGCAAATCATAGTGTTTTTCTTACATGTTTCTGAGTTATGGTTTGGCCGGCGTTGTAACATACATACACAAAGACAATTTTGACGCTCTGGTTTATATAAATATTAAATATACAAGATTCAACTAAAGTTCAAAGTGAATTCTATTTTGCATATTTTCAATTAGAATTACCTTTTCCGCATTTTTCTCTCCTTTTTCAAGCGTGAAAGCACCAAAAATAAATAGAAAAGTAAATTCTGGCCTAGTAAAGTAATCCTTGCTAATAGTGAATAAATATTTATTTCTAAATCGAAATGTAAGATTTTTAAATGAAGTCAATCAATTAAATGATAGCTAGATGGGTTACAAAAGTAAATCTATGTAAGATTAACCTCTACATTACGTTGAGATTGGGTTGATAAACATATTTCAATTATACATCGATCAAAACTATGCAATAAGCAACGAAATACATAAATTCAAATATAAAGGTTTGATTGTTTTTTCAGTTGATGTGCCGCTATTCATATTGTTTAAAGATAAAATGCCATTTCTGTTTGTTTTCCGTGAGGCGGCCCTTTTACACGTTTCTAATCGTAATTTTGTTAATTTTTTAACCTTTAGGGACTCCAGTCTCTAGCTGCAGATAAGGGTAGCTAGGGATCCTAGGAACGGGTTTGTCAAATATTTATTTGCTTTGTAAATTAGGTTTTTTAAAATAATTGATTCCTAAGTAGAAAATTCAGAAATTTATTCCTAGCTACGGACCAAGGTTCTCAAAAGTGAATTTATGTATAAAAGGGTGAATGGGATATTAATTTGTATCATTCTTTTAGAATTTCTTAAAATATCTATTTAAATTAAGATTCTTAATTTTAATGGTTGTTTTTTAACACCCCAGAAGCATAATTATAATTGACAGAGAAGTATTCACACTATTATCTAGATATTCACATGTATGTAATATATGTATTTAGTTATAGTATATATCTCAATGAGAACTATTGATATTGAAATACACATATTGAGGTTGAGTTGTGAATTTCGGGCTCAAGCTTTGATCTTGTGCAGCTCTAAAGATTAATTGAATTTCTCTGGAACATCCCATGGTGGTCATACCTTACAGAGATACATAAAAATTTTAGACTTCTGATCTGAAAACTTTAGAATTGTGGATATTGAGATGAATGATTGATTTCCTCTTTTTATTGATCTTTATTTTGTATCCTGGAAAGTGTGTAAAATGTTACGAACCATTTAATGAGATAACTCTCATGGGTCGGAATCTGGTAAGGAAAGATAAAAAGATTGAGAAAGAGTGGATTAAGCAGGAAATCAAAAGTGTCCACATTGGATATTGAGATTAATCGATTGGGATTATCCAGTTCAAAAGTTCCCAGCTCAGAAGCCAGAACTTTTGTAAAACTTGAGATCAAAACATTGATCATTATCTTATACAGGCATAGAGAATAGAATATATAGAGAGGAATTAAAAGAATCTCTCGGTATGAATTTTTTCAGTCCCTTTCAGCCTGAAAGGGAGTTCAAAGTGTACAAATCATGTAAATGTTTACAAATTATATGCAGTAGAGTACATTAATACAGTATGTTCCCTAGACTATCCATTTCAATTTCGAATTTTTTAAACTGTTAAATAAACTTTATAATGAATGTAACAAATCTAGACGCGATTACTCTACTCAAAGTCTAATAAAGAACACACTTATTTCTATCTCTAGCCAAAACTCAAGGCTCTCTATTTTCAGTCAAACTCTAGGCTCTATATACGTCTGTATAAATCAAAGAATTCTATTGAACTAACTTTATTTATATACAGGTGAATAAACTGACCGGGCTATCCCGGCAGGGTCAACATACAGATAATTAAGATATTTACAGATAACATAGATAGCATTATACTTGATACAGAATATATTACAAAATCCCCCGGCGGGGAGTGTCGCAAACTATCGTTTGTTCTTGATCCAATGATATTTAGACACTTACAGGTTTCCAACATTTGAGACTAAACGTTCCATTTGGATGGGATCTATAACTCTCTGCACCTTGTGGCTTTTGAGCAAAGCCCAGTTCAGGGTCATCCTTGTGATCAGAGCTCCTAACTTTGCTGTGGCTCCGTAGAGGAAAGTACTTGTCACAACAGATACTGTCAAAACACTGTACTCTATCAGTAGCATGGTATTCAAAAATGTCTTCATGTGTTCAATCTCTCGCACGAGTGCACCAAAAGGATTCAGGGAGGCGAGCATCGCCTCGCTTCCCTCTTGAATATGTTTCTTGAAATCCTCGAGGTTCATACCGGACAGCGCACCCTGACCTCTGTAGCTACAAGATTCTTCGCTGCAGAGCACATTCAACAGACGCTGATGTTGAGATTTTTCATAGGATGGAAGTTGCTGATAGTTCTCCCAGTTTTTTAACTTCTCCATGGTGTACAACGTTGTGAAGGTTTCGGAGGGTTTATAGGAACTTGATACCTCCATTGGGGCTGGAGTCTTGACCTGAANTTTACTCTTCTTCCGAAATAATTTCGGGGTCTCGGGCATCTAGATTCGGGATTCTATTTAATCCCACCGCTGCCACCACTTTTGTAACAAATCTAGACGCGATTACTATACTCAAAGTCTAATAAAGAACACACTTATTTCTATCTCTAGCCAAAACTCAAGGCTCTCTATTCTCAGCCAAACTCTAGGCTCTATATACGTCTGTATAAATCAAAGAATTCTATTGAACTAACTTTATTTATATACAGGTGAATAAACTGACCGGGCTATCCCGGCAGGGTCAACATACAGATAATTAAGATATTTACAGATAACATAGATAGCATTATACTTGATACAGAATATATTACATGAATTAGGTGAATAAAAACATCATTTGATTTATAGTTATAACAGAAAATCATCATTTGTAAAGTGAAAGGCATAGAGTCTATGTAAAATGATCATTGGTCAATTATGAAACCAGCCTATTTCATAATTTGGTTTTCTTTTTAACAATAATTTTAGATTTTCTATATAATGATATTCCAGGGCCCAACATGTTATATAGTATTAATATGTGAAGTACACCTGCAGTATGGAAACAGTACAACAAAATGGCCGTTTTACACTTTTTTCTAGGGATCAAGCATTTATCCTTAAAAGTGCCTGTATTGGATATCGAGATCAATTGTTAAAAATTAATTTGTACATTTTAACCACTCCAATTTTTACCTTTTTTCATGACAAAATAAAAAGTAAGTAAAAAATTTTAAAAAACAATTATAATCTGAAAACTTTTTCAGAATCAAAGCAAAATAACTTAGTTGTGCGTAAGGCACTGTATGAGTAATCGATGAACATTAAGTATAATCTCAATTTAACTAGTTGAAAGCCAATGACGCAATAAAATAAACAATTAGATTTTCTTACTTTATGATATTTCCTATTAATATCATCAAGACGAAAATATTGTTTAAAACAATTATATTATGATGCTTGGGCAACTCAAAGAGATCGTTCATCATATGGACAATATACAGAATATAATGGACTTTTCGCGCTGCAGATACGAATACTCGAAACATGATTGTTAGAAACATGATTGTTAGAAACATGATTGTTAGAAACGTGATTGTTAGAAACATGATCGTTAGAAACATGATTGTTAGAAACATGATCGTTAGAAACATGATTGTTAAAAACATGATTGTTAGAAACGTGATTGTTAGAAACATGATCGTTAGAAACATGATTGTTAGAAACATGATTGTTAGAAACGTAATAATTTGATTCATAAAAATTCCAAGCCTATGATATAAGAGTAAGACGTAGGTAAGTGTCTGAGTGAAAATATTTAATCTTTAGTAGGGGTGAGAAGAAATACTTATCATCATATTTTCACAGTATTTACGAAAACAGACAAATCTTTTAATACGGAGGAAGTTATACAATAGCAAGAATAGGGAGGATACAATTTAATCCAAATTAGAATTGACCTACCGACATTTACGTTGGCTGAAATCCTCTAAAAAAATGCAAATACGTTTTACTAGATTTAAGTTCCAAAATATGGACTTTTAAAATAAGATAAAAATTTATTTAACTAAATACACAAAGTTAGCTATTTGGGAAGAACGGGCATATGTAATTAGAGCAAAAGTCAAAGCTGTTTTTTGGATCTCCTCTATTTTTTTGGCAATAAATATCTAGATTGTCTCGCTTATTAAATTATTTTGTAATAATTCCAAATAGAACTAGAAAAGTTCATGTTTATCTCTAATCGCCTGGAACGTACATTTATGAAACACCCCTGCAGTAATTTTGCAGATATTCCGTTGATAATTCTTTATATTCATTTCAGTAAAATTCATTAGATAAAAATTTGCATATTTAAGACCATATTGTAACTGCAGTGTTATATTATGACAAAAAGTTAAAATGAAATTTAAATGAAAGAAATATAAGAACAGGAAAGTGAAAAAACTTTGACGATCATAATAAAAAAACTATTCATGTTTATCTTTTATATTGTTTGTGAACTGTATCAAAACCCTGGGAGGAAAATGTTCTTCAGTTATCTTTAATCAGCTTGCAGTGTCAGTGTAAAAATATACAGAGCTGTGAATACACATCACTATTCAGTCTACTCAGGCTAACATCAAGGTTTGTTGACAATATGTACAAACATACATGAACACGGCAATAACTTCTTCGTTTTTGCTCATATGCGTAAGGGTACCCTTGTGATCAGGACATGCCACTGTAAAAATGGAGGATCACTTGAAAGTACATCCCTATAGTCCCTAAGGGAGTGTCTGTCTAGACATTGTAATTGAGCTGTATTGTATAGAAATTATTTAGGATTCATTTGTTTTTACTGTGCTTATTTCTTCAGCGTGAGTGCAAAATTCTCTTACATTGTCAATTTTGGAGGGATAATTTTGAGAATCGGTTTTCTAAACATTATTCAAAGACGACAACGAAAAATGTGAAATTATACAGTAAACTAATTAGTTGTTAAGGAACAGGTTGAGAACAAAAAATTAACTGTTATCATCGGAAATAAGCAATCTTATTTAGTTATTGGTTTCTGTAATGTCTCATTGTCACAAACATTTTCTGGAATTTTCGTTGAAAGGACAACATTTGAAGAATTTACAGAAATCTGCGAACAAGATCATAAAAAATAAGAAATTCAATATAATAATAAAAAGCATTAATTTCCAACCAAAGTTCTATTGAGGAGGAGTTTAAAGATTGAATCTGCGCTCTTACTGAACAAATTTACACCGTAAGAAAGTCTGATAGGTTTCAAATGAATCCTAAAAAAATTCTCAATAATACTGCATTCTTAGCTCAACAACCATGTCTAGCCATAAGAGGGAGGGAAGGCAACTTCCTCCGCACAGTTTCCGATCTCATTTTACCTATTGGTGGCAGTGCACGTCCTTATAAGGTTTATCGGCGGAGGAAATGGTGGGGATTGGCTCTAGGCTGGAAGCGTCCAAAAGGCAGGAAGAGCCGAAGATTGGCATGGACACATCAGCAAAGAGAAAAGTCCACTCAAATGTGTCCATGGCGGAACTGTTGGCGGTTCTTAGCTGGACACCAACACTCGGAGCAGGAGGATGTCAAGGATGATGTGGAAAAACTGAGACGGAGGGTTCTGTGTCAACAAGGAACGTGTGTGAGGACAGAGAGTTCTTCAAAAATATAAGGTGAGGGAGAAAAATCAGCAGGAATTGAGTTTAGGAAATAGGGGGCTCTGCACTGGCTCGTTTCATCTCCCCATCGGCTGTGGTATCAACAGACCCTGGAGAACCAACTCTACTCCCATCTTCCTGAACTTAGGAACGACTAGAAGACCTGAGCAAAGAACTGCAAACTCCAGCCCTAAAGGATGAATTATGGCATGGCAAAGCAAACACGTCCTCAAACTGATCAGATAACGCCTGGACAGGGAGGCTGCGTCCACTGATCGTCAAAAGTTTGTCAGCATGGAGAGCCATTCCTCGGGGGTCATTGATGGAGTCAGAGAGCAAATGAGCTTGAATATCAGCTGGGAGGCAGTCCATGAACAGGCCTCTGAAGAAAAAAACAGGCTATTCGTCCTTAGGGAGGGTGACCAGCATCGTGTCTATCAGCTCAGAGGGGCGTCGGTCTTCTTAAAGTTTCTTAGGGCTCGACAGGAGGCACTCAAACTAGGTCCAGAAGTCTGCAAGCAACATCCTGGGGCAGTGCAGCAACACAGTGAGTTAATTTCGTCCAGAAGGAAGAAATCCTATAGTTCTCAAACTGAGCCTCTGCTTAAATAAACCAAACCTTAGGAGAATCGGTCCAAAAGGAGGGAAGTTTCACAGAAATCGTTGTCAAAGGAATTGTAATACCCTGAATCACATCATTCTCCGTTTCCTCGGCGTTTCGTCGATCGCTAATCAATGCTAAAAAATATAGATTGACCAACCTGTCCGTGGTAATATATGACCTGTAACTGGTCAAAAGCCTTCGTAATAATGACTTTGTAAAAATCCCGGGACACCCCCCCCCCCTAATTTCACTAAGGGGGTGTGGGGTAATGGACTGCCACCCCCCTCCTGAAACCGCCTATGATGGTTTCAACCTTAAAAAAGCTTTACTTATAGATTATTTACCTAAAAATCAATCGAGTGAGTTTGCGATATTGGCAATTTTTAAATTTCATGGATCGAGCCCTAAGTTTCATCCTTGTTGAGTTCCTACTAGGTCCAGGAGCTAAATAAGCAATAAGAATTTGTTTAATAACTTCTTAATTCCGAGGTTCACATCAAACTAGTTTTGAACTCAGAATATTCTATGTAAATTTTTTTTCCAGATATGCAGATGATGAAGGATGGGATTGAATCAGATACTATTAAACCGGAAGAAATTCAGATGATGAATGATTCAAATTATATATTTTCTGCTGTTAACTTTGGTTTCTTGATGGTAAGTTTCTGGCACTAAATCAACCCCTCCCCCTAGTATTTATATTTTAAGTGCTCCAGATAGCTGTTATTAATACAACATTTTAAAATTTTTTATATTTTTTCATCATGTTTTTGCATCATTTAACATTTTAACTTGAATTGCGTTCATGTCTCTTAAAATAATATTATTTTTTGTTTTGTTTTAAATAGTTTCTTTCTTAGAATAAAAAACAGTTTCAAGATTGTCCCTTTAACTGGACAGAGGCGGAGGCGATGATCAGCTGCACAAAAGGAAATAAACCATCATAGTTTATACCAGAGATAGTTAATACCAGAGATAGTTTATATCAGAGATAGTTTATACCAGAGATAGTTTATACCAGAGATAGTTTATACCAGAGATAGTTTATACCAGAGATAGTTTATTCCAGAGATAGTTTATATAGTTTATTCCAGAGATAGTTTATACCAGAGATAGTTCATACCAGAGATAGTTTATACCAGAGATAGTTTATACCAGAGATATTTTATACCAGAGATAGTTTATATCAGAGATAGTTCATACCATGAGATAGTTTACACCAGAGATAGTTTATAGTTAAAAAAGTTGATTAACATACAAATATGAAACAAATAAAATAACACACAGTGAAAACCAGAAAACTCCTGACTATCGAAGACAACATTTATGCTCAAGTTACTACTTTAAATAGAAAAAAGATAAATATTGTAGAAAGTTTCTCCTAACTGCATTCAATATTGAATTTTTTTTATCAATGCTTAATTTACGGAATACATCATATATTTTATCACCAAAAATAATCTGCAGGGAGAGTGCAACTTTCAGAAAACCTGAAATTAAAGTTCGAGATTAAAGTTTAAAACTATATGATGGTTATAATTTGTAGAAGATGTAAGAAAAAGCTTGATAAAATTTAACCTGAGGACAAACCTAACCCATTCTTATTCAAATGTTTTTTAACGAGTTAAAAAAAATATAACAATTTATTCAAGAGATGTCTTTTCCCACTAAAGTTTAAAATTAAAGGGACTGTAAGCGTAAATTCAAGCGAATCTCTATGCAAATATGGTAATGCCCGATTCACAGCGATCAACTACGAATTAGATATCAATGATTATAATTTTGAAAATTGTTTGTTTTAAATTGTGATTTATTTACAAAATATTTTCGTATTTCTATGAAAGAAAAATATATGCGAATTATCGAATATAAGGAACACTTTAAACTTAGGAAAACTAAAACATTTTTCACACTATTGACCAGATTAAGCTTTCAATGGGTACCATTGTAAATCGGATATTACCATCTTTGCATTACTTGAAGTTATGCTTACAGGTCCTATAAGTTCGTTTTGATTTGATTGTTAGTTTATCTTGAGGATAATTTAGATTGTAAGTAACTCCACAATAACCTTAAACTGTTGCACTACATTGAACCCTATCTTCAGTCAAGTTGCAGGATATGTGTAAGTAGAAATATATATTTGTTATATATATATATTAAGAACACGATTATTAAATTTTTCTTTTTTTAAAGAATTTAGATAACGGTTTTCTTTTTTTAACTATAAAAATGGATGCTTGATAAAAAATATGAAATAATCCTCTTTCTGATTCTATCTCACAGAACACGTTACAAATTGTCAAGTTTGATAAAATGTTTGAAAATTATAGAAACCTTCTTAGGGATAAGGAAAAACATGTTTGAAAGCTCCAAGTTAATATAAAAGAAAACTCTCAAAATCCTTCTTAAATTTTATTTTGTTTTGTTTAGATGTATAATTGTGGCACTGTTCGGATTAAGCGGTAACCTACTTACCCTGCTAGCCATACCCTGGGCAACTAGATATAAACTATTTGGCTTCCATACCTACCCTGGCAAGTAGGTTATAAATTTATATGGATGCATCCTAACCTAAACCTACCCTGGCAAGTAGGTTATAAATATGGATGCATCCTAACCTAACCCAACCCTGGAAGTAGGTTATAAATTTATATGAATGCATCCTAACCTAACCCTACCCTGGCAAGTAGGTTATAAATTTATATGGATGCATCCTAACCTAAACCTACCCTGGCAAGTAGGTTATAAATATGGATGCATATTAACCTAACTCTACCCTGGCAAGTAGGTTATAAATTTACATGGATGCATTCAAACCTAACCCAACCCTGGAAGTAGGTTATAAATTTACATGGATGCATCCTAACCTAACCCTACCCTGGCAAGTAGGTTATAAATTTACATGGATGCATCCTAACCTAACCCTACCCTGGCAAGTAGGTTATAAATTTACATGGATGCATCCTAACCTAACTCTACCCTGGCAAGTAGGTTATAAATTTACATGGATGCATCCTAACCTAACCCTATCCTGGCAAGTAGTTCATAAATTTATCTGGATGCGTCTTAACCCTACTCTAAGGTATTCCACGGAGGATATGGGTGGACGAAATCTTTTATTAAGATCTGTTTACACTATCTTCAATTTTATATTCTAATTAAAAAAGTCAGTTTAATATTTCAATTCTAGGTATACAAATCTTTTTATTGTAAACTTGGCCTTTGCTGATTTCATCTACTGCTTAATACAGCTACCCATGTATAGTTTACAGGTACTAGAGTTAGTGTTAGAGCTATAACTAGAACTAGAACTAGAACTAGAAGTAGAACTAGAACTAGAACTATAACTATAACTATAACTAGAACTAGAACTAGAACTAAAACTAGAACTAGAACTAGAACTAGAACTAGAACTAGGACTAGAACTAGACCTATAACTAGAACTAGAACTAGAACTAGAACTAGAACTAGAACTAGAACTAAAACTAGAACTAGAGAACTAGTACTAGTACTAGAACTAGAAATAGAACTAGAAATAGAACTTAAACTTAAACTTTAACTAAAACTAAAACTAAAGCTAGAACTAGAACTAGTACTAGAACTAGAACTAGAACTAGAACTAGAGCTATAATTTGAACTAGAAATTATAGAACTAGAACTAGAACTAGAAATAGAACTCGAACTAGAACTAGAACTAGGACTAGAACTAGAACTTGAACTAGAACTAGAATTATAACTAGAAATATAACTAGAACTAGATCTAGAACTAGGATTAGAACTAGAACTGTAAATAGGATTAGAGCTAGGATAAGAACTAGAATTAGAACTAGAACTAGAACAAGAACTAGAACCAAGACCAGACCTAGAACTAGAACTTGAATTTAAACTAGAATGACTGATTAAGCTTTATTTTTAATCATATTTTTAGTATATTCAAATGTCTTGGCCCTTGGGACACAACACCTGTCGGCTGTTAGCTGCCTCCAAGTAGGTTGATACTTTAAAATAAATATAATACCAAAATTATTGGAATTAGAAGCACAAGACATATATATCGTTTTATGTGTTAATACAATGAAGACAATTTTTTATTTCTATTTCAACTGATTACCAAATTGGTAGGATGCAGATAGAGCTATAGTATCGTTATAATTAGTTTGACTAGCTTAGGAAGGTAGAGAAACTTCCCTTAGTTTTCATGTTTATATTTCTCTGCTGTTTAAAGATTGGGACTACTACCAATACTATTGCTTTACATGCATTTTAAAATCCTAGAATAACAAAACTAGTCCTAAATATACTTTTGCTCTACCTGCATCCTAAATATACTTTTGCTCTACCTGCATTCTAAATATACTTTTGCTCTACCTGCATCCTAAAACAGCAAAACTAATCCTAATGATACTTTAACTCTATCTGGATCCTAAGTAAGGTTTCCAACAGAAGTGGATTTTACTTGCGCGCAATTGCGAGCGCTGGAAACTCCTCACAATACCGCGCAATTCCGCACAATTGCACGTAATTTGAAAACAGTTGCGCGTAATTCCGCGCACTTGCATGCGATTGCGCGCAACGGAATCGCGATTGGAAACCATAATCCTAAAATAGCTATACCAATCCTAAGGATACTAGTGCTCTACCTATATCCTAAAATAACAAAACTAATCCTAACAATACTTTTGCTCTACCTGCATCCTAAGCTATTAAAGCTAAAACTAAAGATATTTTTCCTTTACCTACAACAGTTGTTAGCTGAAGATCCAAAACGTTTGTGGAAGTAACATTCTCCCGGGTTTGCAGGACCTGGAGTTTGGTTACAACTGGCAGGTGATGTGCTCCCATGGTCACGACCCGACCACAAGACGGGGAGGAAGATGTGGTTTCTAATCTAATCTAATCTAATAATTTATTTTTCCGTTGAAAATATGACAGGTTGTGCATAAAAATTACCTATTTATTAGTTTATTAATTATCAACGGAAGGAGAGCAGCCATAGCAGAGCTGTTTTCAGGTTGGTCTCCTGGCAGTTTACCGTGGTATCAATTAGAACTGAATTGATGTGATACGTCGTGGGACTGGGTTTGGAGAAGACGGAGGAACAGGGTCAGATTTGCTCAATTAACATGTTATAAATTTGGTTCTTGATTTGAGACAATAGGCAGAAAACAGAAACAGAGGCGCCAGGAACTATTGCATTCCTAATTTTTTTGCGTTGCAAAAAAAATTAGCAAAAGTTTAAGTTCCACCCATTAACAATACCTTTTCCAAAAAAAGCAATGCCAGAGCACTGATTTTTATAAGAAGGATTTTAAAAAATGCAAATTGCTTGACTTATAAATCCATTGTCATAGAAAGAAAAATTATTTGTATGCAGTTAAAAAATGACGATTAACTAGAGCATGACCAGCAAAATAGTTTGTTGCAAATAAAATTGTCACTCTTTGACAGCAAATGATTTTTAATCGTAGATTTAAAAGAAATTTTATTAGTAATACTTGAAATTTCAGGATTATTTAGAGCTAAACTGTTCCAACATTTAGGCAAATCAAAGAAAGGAAATCGACGTAAAGATTCATTATCAACTCTTGGGATAAAATATTCATCAGAGTTTCTTAAATTATACAGGTTCACAGACAATACAGAGTTTTTTACAAAGAAATTTCCAAAAGATACTGGACTATAGTTTTTATCAATTGAATGCATTAACATAAGTTTCTGCTGAAGGATTAAATCATGAAAGGGTAATATCTGGGTAGAGTGAAACAATGGCTCAGTATGACCGTTGAATTTAGATTTCGAGATAATTCTGACACATTTTTTTTGCAGAAGGAATAACGAGTTTAAAGATTTTAGCGAGGCAGACGAGTAGATTGGAAGGCAGCTGTGGTTAGAAGAGGGTCTGTAGGTTGTGGTCTCCTTGCGTCCAATAATTTATCAGCATGCAACGCCTTGAACTTATCAGCCACCAGGTGGTCCCTCATCTTGATGGGTAACCTTTCCAGAAACAAACCCAGAAATAGACTGCCTGGGACCTCATCTTCCGAGAGAAAAGCCAACATGGCGTCCATTCGAGCAGTAAGACAGTGGTCTCACTGCCAGTGTGAGAGGGTGGAAGAGGATACTAGCTTGGCCTTGAGATCCTCAAAAGGAGTGGTAGATGAGGACACTGAACCCATAATCAGGCTTCTTACAGAGATCACTATCTTTTGCGGGAGTTTTTGTACAACATGATCGAATTTGGTATGGGATTGAGTGATTTGAGCATTTCTAAAGGCAGACTCTGCATGAAGGAACCAGAGGTCGCGGTCTTCTGTCCAAAATCTGGGAGTTTGACGGCAGCCTTGGTGAAGTACTCAGCGGGGGTAATCCTTTGATACGTTATGATGCTGTAGAATAAATCACGATAATATGCCCAGAATCAATTCACTGAATGTTTGAAGTCGTAGAAAAATCACTATACTGGTTAGCGTTGTATAACTGTATGTTCAAAGTCAATAAAAGCTGTAAGCATCTAAGTGATCAATACTAATTCTAATCGCAGCATAAAATTTACATATTCTTAGGTATGTTAATGCATTTGCTGCATGGTTATCTGTTGGATTTGTAGCTTTGAGCAGGTGATATTTCTTTCTATATATAATATCTAGCTCAGTATACCAATTATTAACTCAATATATAATATCTAGCTCAGTATACCAATTATTAACTCTATATATAATATCTAGCTCAGTATACCAATTATTAACTCTATATATATAATATCTAGCTCAGTATACCAATTATTAACTCTATATATAATATCTAGCTCAGTATACCAATTATTAACTCTATACATAATATCTAGCTCAGTATACCAATTATTAACTCTATATATCTAAGTGTTTGTTTAGATGTCTCTCCCTTCAGAAGAATTTGCTGTCTAGGAAGTTTTTGTATGGAACAAGAGGCCATTTAGGTGGGTTTAAAGGAAAGTTTAAAGGAACTGTTTCCGTAAAATTGAAATATTTAATTCTTTCTGGCATCCAAGTTTTAAATTAAAATCATTCAGATATTTTTTAACTTAAGTCAACATATATTCAAACAGAGGTGCAAATTAATCATTTGACAAGTGTGGGGGGGGATAGAGGAGAAATAAAAAAGTAAATAAAGAAGCATCTATCAAGTGTGGGGGGGGGGGATAGAGAGAAATAAAAAAGTAAATGAAGAAGCGTCTATCAAGTGTGGGGTGGGGATAGAGGAGAAATAAAAAAGTAAATAAAGAAGCATCTTATAAGTGTGGGGGGGGATAGAGGAGAAAAAAAAAGTAAATAAAGAAGCATCTATCAAGCGACTTTTAAAACCAAACTTTTAAACAATTCTAATCTTTCTGAAAAAAAATCATTGTTTTTTTCCCTATTCTTGAAACGTGTGAGGAAGGGGGCGCCACCTCCCCCTCTTCAAATTTCATTTAGTTAAATTATCAGTAATGTACCCTAGTTGTTCTCTCTATATGGGTTTACGCTGCTCTACTGGTTAGCCCATCATTCTTTAATATCTACGGACAATTTGGGTATAATAGGTAAATAATGTTAATCGTTTTTACTCAATATATACAGGTTGTCCTACGAAACAATATATATACAGGGTGTCCTACGAAACATAACAGTCGGCGAATAGTTAAAAGTTGTTTGATACCAAAGAGAATAATAAAAATATCATGACAGTCATATACAGGGTGTCCCACGAAACATGACAATAGGAAGACGACTTGAAAGTCGTCTTTGGTATTTGAATTTATTTGTGACATTTAGTCTTCTATCTACTTTAACATGTATGATTCTTGAAACAATTATCACATAATTCTCCTAGCCCTGGCATTTCCAAAAAGTGGTCTGCGTTTTTTGTGCTTTCAATATTACCTGAGATATAAAGAGTTTGGTTCAGATTTCAATTTTGTTAAATAAAAGCAAAATTGTCGAAATCTGAACGAAATTCTTCATATCTCGGGCAATATTGAAAGCACAAAAAAGGCAGACCACATTTTGGAAATGGCAGGACAAGGGAAATTTTGTGATTATTATCCCTAGAAATTTACTTCTAAAATTAGGTTGACAAATAAACGCAGCAAATTATATGATAAATCAAGCCGACATTCAAGTCGTCCTGCATACTGTCATGTTTCGTGGGACACCCTGTACTAAAGTAAAATTGATTTTAAAGCAAAATATATTTGAGAAAACGATTTTCTTAACGAAATAAAAACTACACAAAGGCTATAATGTCTCATACAATATATGGTAGAAGACATCCATAACTATTCGGTAATCATGTTTCGTTGAATACCCTGTCTTCACTAGCAATCTTTTCTTTTCTTTTAATGAAGAAATTTTTCTAAAATTTTCATCTGAATTATTTCTCTAAAAAAGTGTCCTGAGAGAAGAAATATCAGTGGCAACAATTAAACATTACAAAAAAACACCTTATGGACATTTCCAAAGTAACGAAGAACAAAGACGACATTTATTTCTATGTAGATATTCACATATTATTTTAAGAATTTTGGATTAATTGTCGTCTTCACTGCAAAGTCGAAAAATAAATTAACGTATAGACGAATTTATCAATTCTACTGTTAAAGAATATTTATTATACAGCTGTAAAATTACAAAGGTTAATAATTATTGCTTTCATGACCAGTTAATAAGTACATTTATGCAACCATGAATTTGCCGGCGCATTTCTGAGCCACAAAAATCTTGACATCTTCTTTTAAAAGTAAAAGAAGAATTGTGAAAAAACCTTTATATTTTTTCAGGAAGATGGGGAAATGTGATTTCCTGGAGTTGAACGAGAATGATCCTCATGTACTATTCTATACAGTAGGTAAACACTTTATATTGTCTTTTTATGGTAAATAAAGTGATAAAGCCATAAAGAAACAAGTTTACAGCTGTAGGATAACATAAAGGAATTAAGCCTCTGCCACAAGCTCTAATTTCATGTCATAGACCTTTATATTTTAAATTGTGAATTAAAAATTCTTAGATGAAATAATCTAAAAGAATCTGGTTCCATTTTATTATTCTATTTCAGGGTTGCCATGGTTCCATTATGTTATTCCATTCAAGGGTTCCTGGTTCCATTATGTTATCCTTTTTCTGGGTTCCTGGTTTCATTATACTATTGTATTCTAGGGTTCCTGGTTCCATTATACTATTCTATTCCAGAGATCCTGGTTTCATTATACTATTGTACTCCTGGATTCTTGGTTCAATTATACTATTCTATTTCAGGGTTCTGGGTTCTATTATATATTGTATTCCATTGTTCTTGTTTCCATTATGCTATTCTATTGCAGGGTTCTTGGTTCCATTATACTATTCTATTTCAGGGTTTTTGGTTCTATTATATATTTTATTCCATTGTTCTTGTTTCCATTATGCTATTCTATTCCAGGGTTCCTGGCTCCATTATACTATTCTATTCCAGGGTTCTTGGTTCCCTTATACTTTTCAATTCCAGGGGTCTCGGTTCCATTATATTATTCTATTCCAGGGTTCCTGGTTCCATTATACTATTCTATTCCAGGGTTCCTGGTTCCATTATACTATTCTATTGCAGGGTTTTTGGTTCCATTATACTTTTCTATTCCAGGGTTCCAGGTTCCATCAGACTATTCTATTCCAGAGTTCTTGGTTCCTCTATATTATTCTATTCCAGGGTTCCTGGTTCCATTATTCTAAAGTATTCCAAGGTTTTTGGTTCTATTATACTATTTTATTCCAGGGTTCTTGGTTTCATCATATTATTCTATTCCAGGGTTCCTGGTTCCATTATACTATTCTATTCCAGGGTTCCTGGTTCCATTATACTATTCTTTTCCAGGGTTTCTGGCTCCATTAAACTATTCTATTCCAGAGTTCTTGGTTCCATTTTACTATTCTATTCCAGGGTTCCTGGTTCCCCTTTGTATACTACTTGTTAGCTATGCTATAATCTGGAGAATGAGTAGAGAATCATCCAAATTTCTGAAAACCTTGACGTAAGATTTTTATTTTAAACTTTTCAAAAGTTTAAGTTTTCACTTCGGATTGTTTTTAGAGCAGAGAACAAAATTCAGTTGGACAGTAGAGATCACAGACTAACAATGTAAGTCTCAATTTCAAATTTTAAAAATAACATTTTAGCTGAAAATAACATTAATTTTTACACTTCAAAAAATAAGAAATATATGCTTATATTTACCAGTGTACATCTAGCTTTTAAAGAAGCAACAACTGGGTATGGCTTGGCGCTTTTAATAGTACTCATAGATACAGGGTGAGAGAGAAAAAATGGCAAACTAGAGAAACTTTGGCCAGGGGTGTATATCCCCCGTATACACCTCTGCACACAAATGGAAAAGAAATAAAACATTGAAGGCCTGCATTGATCTTTTAACGCTGTATTAACTTGGAGAATGGAGGTTTTGTACCTAACTGGATCCAGATTATGCTACTGACAGCTTTAAATATACTTCTTAATAACAATCCTGGTTACTGGTTAGCTGTTATTAAGTATCCAAACTTGTCGGAAAGACGTTAATTCTTTCGATTGAATCTGGTTCTATGTGTAAGCATCAAAGGAGCTCAGAACAGTCAGGTTCTTATGCAACTCTCTCCAGTTTCATGTGGCTGAACAGAACCCTGTGTGGAATAACATGGCAGTACACTATACTTTGAAAAAAGAGTAAATAATAGTGCAGAGAATGAGGGGTTTCTCTCTCTTCCCCTTTCAAGGAAAATGGAAACATAGAAAGTAGAATCCTGAAAAGATTGCTGTAAGCAAGGCCGTATTCTGAAGCACTTTGTCCGAGATGAACTTTCAAGAATCTTTTGTCAAAAAAATCCACTCCTAGCATAACCTTTCTTATCCCATTTGTTATTATGGCGGAATTCTGACAATGGATATCCTCACAATTTTCAAACCCCACATAGTGCAGTGACTTTTATTTTTTCCACCTGTAAGAATATTGAGAAAATTGTGTTGGAAGCTAATCATCAACAGTTGTTGAGTCAGATATTCCTGAATCAGAAAACAATACTGAAAACTGCAAATACATGATATTTAGTTAATAAATGACGATATTAGCCAGAATCATAACATATTTTTTGTTGGAAATATATAAAATGTTTATTTAAACAAAAAGTGAAAAAAATGTATATACAGTGTAACTCACAAAGGATGAGACTCAAGAGACAAATTTATGGAATTTATTCAGTCTTTGTTCGTGCTTATACATCCACCCTGCCAGATGCCTCTTAAAAACTAATTTAAAGGCAGAAATAAAAATTAAATCTTTGTATCGATGTTTTTAAACAATTTCATATCTTCAGTTCCATCCTTTAACCATGTGAAACCCTTAATAACGAATACATCGGAAGAATTTATCAAATGTCATCTTGACAATTATTCAATGAGTTTTATACTATATTTCGTAAATTTCAGTATTTGCGAAAATAAATAAATAGCCATGAATATGCGGGAACAGTTTTAAAAAGTTCCATATAATCATTTAATTAAAAAAACTAAATATCTGCAACATTCCATTATCAGAAAGTGAAGAATACGACATTTTATGAATTCTTTCGATGTTTTCGTTATTAAGGGTTTCACTGTATGTACTATAATTTCCAGCTCTTCGCGCCCATCTTCGATTTTTACTTTTAATTTTTTCTTTTTCAGTCCAGCATTTTTTACTGTATAGATTGACAAACAATAAAAAATAATTTTTTCTGCAGATTTTGAAAAATTTAAATCAAGGCACATTTTTTAAATTATAACCACCCGTGAACCTTACCTGGGGTCATGTGAGGTCTTACAGACAGTTTTGGGTGTGATCATTTTGACGTATATTTAATACAAAAAAAAACAGACGGACAGACGGACAAAAAAAGTATAAACATATATGAATGAATGTAGAATGATACTGCTGGTGTGTGGTTGTTATGTAATATTTGTTGGACCAATAGCACTCATAAATGTTCTAGATTATAACGCAGAAAAACCAGGTGAAATATATTTTATTAAAGTAATTTAATATTTTTCCTTCCCTCCGTTTATCACTCCTCCCCAACCCTTCCTGTCCCTTTCTGTCCCTTCCTGTCCCTTCCAGTTCCTTCCTGTTCCTTCCTGTCCCTTCCTTTCCCTTCCTATCTCTTCCTACCCCTTTCTGTTCCTTTTTGTCCTTTACCATCCCTTCCTGCTCTTTCATGTCTCTTTCTGTCATTTCATGTCCATTCCTGTTCCTTCCTGTCCCTTCCTGTTGCTTCCTGATGCTTCCTGTCCCTTCCTGTCACTTTCTCTCCCTTTTTGTCCCTTTCTGTTCCTTCCTGTCTCTTCCTTTCCCTTCCTGTTCCTTCCTGTCCTTTCCTGTCCCTTCCTGTCCCTTTCTGTCTCTTCCTGTCCCTTCTTGTCCCTTCCTGTCCCTTCCTGTCCCTTCCTTTATCTTCCTTTCACTTCTTGTCACTTCTTGTCCCTTCCTGTCTCTTCCTGTCCGTTCCTATCCCTTCCTATCCGTTCCTGTTCCTCCCTGTCCCTTCCTGTACCTTCCTGTCCCTTCCTATCTCTACTTGCCCCTACTTTGGCGCCAATCTACTGATTTGTCATTAGCTTCAACGCCTTAATCATATGCCTAACCTTAGATTTTATGAAGTAACTGGCAAAATTACTTATTATCCGTCAAAATCTGATTATCTTTGTTTCTGCTATATATACCCTTTTCCACCCTCCCATTGGTTAAAATTTCAATAGTTCTAATTTGTTTTTCTATTTAGTTCAAAGCTCTTTGCCCTGCTTAGGATTTTAATCTTTTAGAAATTCATTTGGTTTTCTTTCTGCTTTACTGGCTGCAGTATTCTTTTAACTTTGTTGTCTACGCATTGAGGTAAAATTTATCGAGAAAAAAGGTTTTATAATATTTTTCATGATTGAAACAAACCAGTTTTAAAGATACTATTACTATTTTTGTCAGGAACGAACAGTACCGAAAAGCTTACAAGTTTTTTCTCTCTCACGTGTGGAAAACTTGCTGCAGGTAGGTTACACTAAACCGCACAAAATATAAGAAATAAAGCGGATCAAAGAATAGTCTATTTATTTCTATGTACGTGTGTTTAACACCTTACAAAGTACAAAAGAACGAGATATCATTGAGAAAACATTTAAGAAGTCCCAATATCAAATAACGACTTTAATATCGTCTTTGATTAACGAAGGATCCTTGCTTCTGTTCTAGGGCATTTCCGTCCTACAGTACTTCCGTCCTACGCAACATCGGATATATTTATGACAACTATTTTGTTAATCCTGATGCACAGATTTTTTAGGCGCGGATACACAACTGTTGTAGGTCGGATGCACAGTTTTTGTAGGTCGGATGCACAACTTTTTAGTTCGGATGCATAAGGTTAGGTTACAACAATTTATGGGCCGAGCGCTGCGGCTAGAACCTATAGCTAGGCTAGGGGGCCGAGCGCTGCGGCCACATTTACCAGAATGACCAAGTGATATACAATATGTGGGGTTAGGTTAGGTTAAGAAATTTATTGTGCATCCGACCTACAGAATTGATGCAACCAACTTAAAAAAGCTGTGCAACCGACCTACTAGTTCTGATACACTAACTTTTTGTGCATCCGACCTACAAAAGTTGTGTATCCGACCTACAAAAGTTGTGTATCCGACCTACAAAAGTTGTGCATCCGACTTACAAAAATTGTGCATCCGACCTACTAAGTTGTGCATCCGACCTATTAAAGTTGTGCATCCGACGTACTAATGTTGTGCATCCGACCTAGAAATATTGTACATCCGACCGAAAGAAGAGTGCAACCAAACTGATGAAAGCTGTACAAGTTTGCAACCGATCTACAGTAGGTCAGATGCACTAACTTTTTTTTAGTAAAGTGTGTATCATACCTACAGTAAATCCGATCAACAGCAGCTTCAAGCTGCTAAACCACGTGCGGGTATGGTCCGAAGTATCGTAGGACGGATGTAACTTTGGACGGATGTAAAAGGGTGGTAGGCTAAAATATCAATATAATGAAGACGACTTTTTAATTTACGTTTTAATTGTTTTTTTAGAATTACAAGTTTACAATTATTTAAAGAGAACTTTTTAAATTGACAGCTTCTCTTTGTTTCCATGTTTTTGTGTATCCTTGCTGTTTAAACGCTTGATATAAATTAAAATTTAAATGAAAAGTCGTCTTCATTTTATTGATATAATCAAATTGTACTTTTATCATCAAACGGTTTACTTCACTGACTATCAAAGACGATAGTAAATGTCGTCTCTTAACCCGAGTTCAATGGGTAACCTTCTAGTTAAAATTGACAGTTTTTATGATATAGATACCAATTAGATCAATACATTATATATAGCACGGTTCTCTTCAATGAACATAAATATTTGGTAACTATCCTTTTATATCCCATAAACCTAACATTTTCCCAATAAATATCCAGCCTCTATAAATATATATAACATTAGAGAGCACAATTTAGAAATATTTCAGATTTGTGTTTTTCTTAAAGAGACCGTCTGCTTAGGAACCCTTTTTAATTTTGAGTAAAGAAAATTGACTTTACAGTAACTAAGACGTATATACAGGGTTATCCACAAAGGAGAGACTGTAAAGACGACCTGGAACTATTGAAATATGACAGTCCCTGGATGGGTTAATTTATGTATTCTGCCTTAGATATAGTAACCTAATATGGAGTATTCAATGATTCGGCAAAGAAAAAAATAAGTTTACGGTTGCAGGGAATCGTGAATATATGGAACCAGAGACAGTATAAATTTCTGAAGTCTTATCCTTTGTGGGTAACCCTGTACTTTTATTTTAATCAACTTATTTCTAGAACTGCCCTTTTACGTGGTATAGTATACGGGGTTTGTAGGAAGACACTCTCTCTAACATTATGATTCTTCAGAAATTAGCTTTATCATTTTTTTTGGAAGCTTTTTATATTTTTTGATATTTTTGGTTTCGAAAGATCTCTTTAGGTAAAGTTTCTAAAAGGAAAGATGGCATTAATTACGGCTGATATAAAATGATATAAAAATGTATACAGATACAGGTTTACCCACAAAAGATGAGACAACAGAGACGGTTGTACGGAATTTTTTCTGTGTTTTTTCTTAAATTCACAATTTCCTGCAAGCGTAAACTTGTTCGTTTCTTTGCCAAAACATTGAAAAAGCCATGACATTAACATATTTTAGGTGGAAGACTTAATCTATTTTTGGGATCGTCATATTTAAGAGTTTCCTGTCGTCTTTGCAGTCTCATCCTTAGTGGATAATCTTGTATTATATTTACTAAATTTAGGCCAAGAAACACGGTTCCACATAACACAATATTTGTTCTGAACTGTCAAAATCATGTTCTTCAGGCAGATTTACAGGGGTAATAATAAAACTTAAAGAACTAAACATAAACTGAACCGCGAACATTGAAAATTGAACATAGACATAGATAAAAATACTAAAACGAAATCCAATAGAACAATGACAGTGATCACGATCTGAGGCCGAATTTAAAGAATTTAAACCTCGTCGCTGATCTACCAAAAAACTTGTTTCAATAGTACTCAGGCTCAAATTTCGAAACACTGAATACAATTTTAAGTGGAACCAACGATGTTTGAACCGCGTCTCATATTTGAGACGCGGCTAAAATTGATCAAACTCGACCTCAGGACGACTTTAATCATGTCCATAGTCATGACCACTACTATTTCCACGAAGCTATTAACATGACTATGACCTTAAACATGACCATGACCTTGACCATGACCTTGATCATGACCAAGACCATGACCTTGACTATGACCTTGACCATGACCTTGACCATGATCATGACCATGACCATGACCATGACCATGACCATGACCATGACCATGACCATGACCATGACTATGACCATATCCATGGTTATGACCATAACAATATTAATCCCCATGTTGAAGACAATGCAAATAATACTAGGGATAATGTTGGTGGGACTAGTTTAGTTCTCAATGAAATCATGGATATCTGTGTCAGCTACAGCGGGAAACTAAAATTAGACAAATCCTACAAAGAAACTGTAGAGGTATAAACTATTTTTATTCATGGTTATTTATGATTTGTTATGATTTGTTATGTTTATTTATAATTATTTATGATTTTTTATGATTTTTTATGATTATTTATGATTTATTTAAACTATTTATTTAGGTTGAAGCAGGTCCATCATCTACGATAATAATTCTTCCTGGAAACCTGGAATCTTCTTCATTTAAAACCAAAGAAAAACAGGTTTAAGAAAATACATTAGTCGAAATCACGAAAAAAGAGTATACACATTTATGCATAGGTTTTCACTTATTTAAAAAGAAATGATTGATTAAAGGGAGTGTTCGCGAAAAATGAAAGGAAGTCTAGGCTTACGGCGAAAAATTATCTATAGTGATCGCTACTAATCGTACATCTATCTGTTGCGCCTATAAGGAGAAACTTGTTAAAAACTACTAATACCGAAGAACGTAGCATCCATACAAATTCAGAAAATACAATATACTGCTCCGATCGTAAAAAACAAAAAAACAATTTAATTCCAAACAAATTATTGAGATATTACAACCTATAATCATCCATAATTTTTCGACGCAGTTGGTATAAAGTTGATATTTCATAATATTTTTTATTTGTTTAATATACAATGCACTTAAAAGTACGTTTTTCCGTTTGGTGTCTCTGCCACTTGGAATCATTCAGAGTATCATTTTTCGAGAACACTCCCTTTAATTATGTACTAATAAAATTTGATTTATTTAACAGAGGCAGAAAATATCTTCTCGTGTGGTCAGAAGAACCAGAAGAAGTTCAGGGGTAAGCTTGAGATTTTTATACCTAATTTCTTTTTGTTTTCCCGTCCTAGAGAAATCTATATTTACAACTTTGTTTCATTGTATTCTTGACAAAAATAAAAATGAAAATTACAGAAAAAAAATAATAAAACAGAATAATTACATATGATGCTATCTCTATCCAGATTACTTCTCATTTTAATCATGAATGAGAATAAGAATATTATAGATTGTAAAATGACATCGAACCATTAATCTTTATTTAAAAAATCAAATTAAATCAATAGAATTTTTTTATAAATTTATAATTGAATAATCTTTTTCTCTGTTAATTATTCATTTTTGTTGCTTAACTATCTGCAATCCTTTCATTGATTTCTAAATAATATCAATAAAAGATTTCTTCTTATTTCTTTAGTGCGTCTTCAAACAAACAAAAACGAAATTACAAAAAGGCAAACATTTAAATTTTTTTTTTAATTCTAAAGATCATAAACCTTCCCTTGCACCCGGTCGTTTAAACCTTCCCTTGCACCCGGTCATTTAAATTGTTTGGACTAAGGAGTTCTACCGTTCAGCTGTTTATTGAATACAAACAAACAGACGGCCTGAGCAGTTCTGCCGTTCAGCTGTTTATTGAATACAAACAAACAGACGGCCTGAGCAGTGCCGTTCAGCTGTTTATTGAATACAAACAAACAGACAACCTGAGCAGGCTGTTTATTGAATACAAACAAACAGACGGCCTGAGCAGTGCCGTTCAGCTGTTTATTGAATACAAACAAACAGACAACCTGAGCAGTGCCGTTCAGCTGTTTATTGAATACAAACAAACAGACGGCCTGATCAGTGCCGTTCAGCTGTTTATTGAATACAAACAAACAGACGGCCTGATCAGTGCCGTTCAGCTGTTTATTGAATACAAGCAAACAGACGGCCTGAGCAGTGCCGTTCTGCTGTTTATTGAATACAAACAAACAGACAACCTGATCAGTGCCGTTCTGCTGTTTATTGAATACAAACAAACAGACAAGCCAAATCCATATATAAAAGATGTATCCTAAGAATTAGTTTTTAGAATTCAAGCTTGTTCCGAAGTGAATGGATCTATAACCTGGACAAGGAGGAAAATGGAAGAAAATTATCATATTCGCTTTCTTAATCTTTTTTTTCTCATTTTAATGACATTGGATATCTGTTGTGTTTCTATAATTTTAGATATTTAACATATATATTATGTACAATGTTTATTTCTGTATCAGAATCTATTTATGAATAAACGTTACAAAAATATTAAATAAACCTATTTCTCTGTTATGTATACCATGTGTATATTGTATTATAAGTAGTCAGTAGTCACCTAAAAGAGAAGCTGTTTATTGACATCTTCTATTTGTTTCAATGTTTACGTGTATCCTTGTTGCTTGAGAGCTTGTTAGAAATCAAAAATCAAACGAATACGATACGAGTGTGGTATAGTAGTAAGGGGTAAAGATTTATTGGTCTGATAGTTTTACCATGACATCTGTGATCTTTGAAGTTGTAACGTCCAGTTAGTCTGAACAAAATAGTAATTAAAGGAAGTGAGTTTTTGCCGCAAACTCTAACTATTTTCCTCATATATCATAGGAACCCGATGTCGTAGACCTTTGATATTTCAAACTATAAATTCTGTTAGATCAAATAGTCTAAGTTTGAAATATCATCGGTTTATGCCATCTGGTTGTAAAGATATAGGGTTTTGCATTTGAAAATAAAACTACACAAAAGAAAGTTTTTGTTAAGCTGAAGTCTATTGATTGTGTTTGTTTGAAAAAGTGTAAACTAAACAATTGTAACATGTTGAATGTATTCTCTATTTAATGAAATAAAAAACAAAAATGGCGAAAATATCAATGAACTTCACGTTGAAAGAATCCTTGCAGACAAGGCCATCTTGCGTTCAAAAATAAATGAATAACTTGCAGTGAGTATTCAAATTATTTACTCTAATAGGATTGTTTCCCTCACGGGCAGCCGTTGTACATTTGAATTTCCGATAGCGGGTCAACCTTTCCGGTCCCAGTTTGTACTGCACTGCACGAACATTGGGTTAATAAAGATGACAATCAACATGACTAGCCAGTGCAACAAGGTTTACGCGGATCAGACTGTATGCTTCATATAGGTTGAATTTACTTTTGCTAAAGAGCGGAGGTGTACGCCCTATTAAAAAAATCGTTAAAATCTATTTTTTAAAATTGGGAGTGCAGCTTTGTGTATAGCTTTACTCAGGATTGAAATTATAAATGATTCTTACAAATATAGAATATACGATACACTCATTAAACGCTACTTCTATAAATACATAATACAATACTGACCTAGTAGAATATATTTATATTTATGTATATTACCGGAAAGGAATTGAGTTTTTGCCACAAACTCAATTTTCTAATCTCTATTATGCCTCTGCCACCTGATTGTGTAAACCGATGATGAAAAATATTCTTCCTAGTAATATTAAACTAACTATTTACAACTCTTTATCATTTATAGAATATGGATTTTCAGCCTGAGGAAGAAACAAATGTTCGGAAATGAAACAAATTAACATTTTTCAGAAACGCGCAATAAGATTAATTGATAATTCAAAAGGCCACGTTTTATAGTGATCCTCTTTTATTTAAGTATAAGATTAATGATCTTGTAGACTTTAACCAAGCTATATTTATGTATAAATATACACATACTATTCTTCCTGCATCTTTTGAAAACAAATAATTCCCCTCCCCGTCTTCCCCCCCTGTTCTGTAGCTAGACAAAGATTACTATTAAGAAATCTGTCCCTGAAATCATAAAATAAATGAATTCCCACGATAAAACCTAGAAAATACAATAAAATAAGGTCACACAACCCCTCCCTGTACTAAACAAAGACTCCCCATGTTCTTACTCTATCTTTGATTTAATGACGAGTGCCCCCGGCGGCGGTATGAGAAAATTTCTTTCTAACACCGTAAATTGGAAACTTACTTTTAATTTTTACGTTTATTGAGAAAATGTTGCAATCTATGATTTAAAATTTTAGCTTTTAACTTTTAATTTTCCAGTCGTCTTTTCATATCATTCTTCAATAAAAATAACAGTTTTTTTCGGATTTTTCTATATAAATTCGTAAATATTTATTAGGATTGTTGACATGTATCAAGTATATTGTATTGTAAGTAGGTGCAGATTATATAGGATTGTAAAGTAGGCATAGAGTAGTTAGGAGTAGAGAGTATATAGGAATATAGAGTAGGTATAGTGTATATAGGAGTATAGAGTAGGCATAGAGTATACAGGATTAGAAAGTAGGTATGGAGTATATATGAGTAGGTATCAACTCAAGTATATAGGATGGGAGAGTATGTATAGAGTTTATAGGATGAGAGAATAGGTATATAGAGTATATAGGAGTATAGAGTAGGTATAAAGTATATAGGAGCAGAAATTATATTGTAGTATAGAGTATATAGGAGCAGAGAGTATATTGTAATAGAGAGTATATAGGACAGAGCCTCAAGGTATAGGTATATAGAGTATATACAACATATAGAAGTAGAGATTACGTAGAGAGTATATAGGGGTATAGCGTATATAGGAGTAGAGAGTATAGAGTATGTATAGAGTATATACAACATATAGAAGTATAGAGTAGGTATAGAGTATGTAGGAGTGAGAGTATAGAGTAGGTATATAACATATAGAAGTAGAGAGTAGGTATAGAGTATGTAGGAGTAGAGAGTATAGAGTAGGTATATAGAATATATATAACATATAGAAGTAGAGATTAGGTAGAGAGTATATAGGGTAGAGAGTATGGAGTAGGTATTTAGAGTATATACTATATATAACATATAGAAGTAGAGAGTAGGTATATAGAGTAAATATAACATATAGAAGTAGAGAGTTGGTAGACAGTAAATAGGAGTAGAGAGTATAGAGTAGGTATATAGAGTATATATAAAATATAGAAGTAGAGAGTAGGTAGAAAGTATAAGAGTAGAGAGTATAGAGTAGGTATATAGAGTAAAAATGAGTAGAGAGTATGGTAGACAGTATGTAGGAGTAGAGAGTAGAGAGTAGGTATATAGAGTAAAAATTAGTACAGAGTAGGTATAGAGTATGTAGGAGTAGAGAGTATAGAGTAGGTATATAGAGTAAAAATGAGTAGAGAGTATGGTAGACAGTATATAGGAGTAGAGAGTATAGAGTAGGTATATAGAGTAAAAATGAGTATAGAGTAGGTATACAGAGTAAAAATGAGTAGAGAGTAGGTATAGAGTATATGGGAGTAGAGAGTATAGAGTAGGTATATAGAGTAAAAATGAGTAGAGAGTAGGTATAGAGTATGTAGGAGTAGAGAGTATGGAGTAGGTATAGAGTATGTAGGAGTAGAGAGTATGGAGTAGGTATAGAGTATATAGAAGTAGAGAGTATGGAGTAGGTATATAGAGTAAAAATGAGTAGAGAGTATGTATTAATCAATATTTTGTATAAAAAATATATATTTTAAGTGAATGATTACAGAGCCAAACATAATAAATATTAAAAATACCAATGATCAAACATTTTTAAGATGTTGCATTTTTATTGGGGATTTTTCTATTTTCTCATTCCCCTTTTCTTCATCCTTTTATATTTAATCCATATATTTGCAAAGTTATCAAATCATTCATTTATTTCTTTGTTACGACTATGTGTTTACAATCATACTAAAATTTCGAATTTGCAAGTTTATGAGCGGGGTTTGCCCTGCAGAAAAGAATTAATTGAATTTTCAATATATTCTGAATGTGCATAAAGCTAGAAAACCACAAAATTAAATTGCATAACGTTTTATTGTAACTTTAACGCTCTTTTTACAAGTTAATGTATTTGAATATTATAATATTTTTATTAGCAATAATATCATTTCTTTTTTGGATTATAAACTTCAGCAGGTTTTATCATGATTTGATTATAATATCATTTATTGTTTCTTTACAACATTTGCTAATATTTCAACCGCAGCGTAGGGTTAAACGTTTAAAAAGATAACAATATATTACCTGAGGCCACTGTAAATTAGCTAGTAGAAGATGGTTAAATTCAATTAACATCAATGACACGACTTTGTGACCTTTTTCCTCCGCCAGTTCTGATTTTAGACACAAATATGAGAAAAGATAATTTTATTCGGATATATTTTATGGATTCACATGGAGGACGCACATTGAAGACATACATTTAGGATTCACATGGAGGACGCACATTGAAGACATACATTTAGGATTCACATGGAGGACGCACATTGAAGAAGTACATTTTGGATTCACATCGAGGACGCACATTGAAGAAGTACATTTTGGATTCACATCGAGGTTGCACATTAAAGACGGACATTTAGGTTTCACTTCGAGTACGGTCATTGAAGACATACATTTAGGATTCGAATGGAGGACGCACATTGTAGATGTTTATTTAGGTTACACATAGAGTCGTAAACGTTTAATTTAAGTGACTTTTATGGGGGAAAACTCCAGGCAAAGCTGGGTTCCCTAGCATAGTTGTTAATAAATCTGACAATTATCATACAGTATATTTTAAACATTATTTATATATGTAGATACTAGATATACTTGGTCACCGGTCGGCTAATGTTATAAATAGACAACACATACAGATTGTAGAGTGTATTGTGTACGGAGGGGAGGAAGGCCAGCCACAACAACTTCTCGTCCGAGTCACATTCTCCTCATTTTCTCGTCCGAACCACCTCGAAATCCTCGTTCTTTGATTATTATGTGTTGAAAAGTTTCTAATTCTTGAAGATAAAACTATTTTCAACAAATCTGGCCACGTTAGGGCATAAAATATGGATAGACTAAAGTATTGCAATGATTAAATTATATTTGAATCTTTAGAAACATGAGAATGATGTCAAACTTTATTTAGATAAAACTTAAAACTCTTATGCCTCTGTAATGGCCTACCTTCATGATATGAAATAAATAGAAAAATATTTGGCATACCTCTGCCTATCATTTTCCCCATGGAACCACCCGGAAAAAATCTATGGTTTTCACTATCATTAAGAAAAAAGATTTAAGTTCTATAATCTCGAAATTATTTGCGGCATTCTATACCAGAAATATCTGAAAATGCGCGCATAAAAGATGAACATTTTTAAGGACATAGAACTCGAAAACTTTTATTCAATTGAAACTATTTTTTTCAATTTATTAAAATTCAATATTTTATTTATGCCCTAACGTGGCTCGATTCTTAAAAAATTGTTTTATCTTGGAAGACTAGACACTTTTGGAAAATAATATTGGAAGGCCGAGCATTTCGAGGTGGCTCGGACTAGAAATTGTTGGAGCTGGCCTTCTTCCCCTCGTGTACGTGAGTGAGCGATTGTGTGTAAATGTTAGTACTATATTATTTGATTGACGCTTCTTAAAAATTAAACACGTATTGCGTATAACTATAACTCTTTGCGTATGAATATTTTACACAGAACGAACAAGAACTGAAATACTCGAATTTTAAATTACTTTTTTTCTATTTAGATATAGAGACATTAAACTGTAATTACAAAAAGTAAGAAAATAATTAAATTTTAAAAAAAAATTTTCCGTGAAGGTCTTTTAGGCCGTTTAGGCCTGAAAACAATTTGGAAACATATATTTCACTGATCCAGGGGGGGGGGGGGGGGGCACCCATAGCCCCATCCCTTGTATACGCTTCTCACTACTGAATTTTAAGAATCCTAATTTTTTTATTTTTCAAAAAAGCCAAAACTCCGGAGATACCCCTATATTTGTAGGTTCAGCATTAAGAAAAACATCGCTAGTTAGACACTTCTAAACTTTGTAATTTCCTATTAATGATCGCTGTAGACATTTTAACCGTGTATCAGCATTTTGCGTAAGTTTCTCCAGCGCGTACGCAAGAAGTTATGTTCCAAGGAATATGATTGAATCGCCCAGTAAACAGGAGAGGTTGGTTGTACGCACATATATACGCTTTTTTAATTTCTATTGATGGTGGGATAAAGGGACAAAATGAAGTTTCAAATATTACTTGTATCATTACTCAGCACTGCATTCAGTCTACAACTTGAAGGTAATTTCTCTAATTAATGGCACATTTTTTCTATTAAAATAAATTAATTGAGATGTTGCCAAAAACTTAAATTTTCTAAACGCGCTATATCTTTGAAACTTGATGTGTAAACTAATGATGTTTTAAATTTATATTATTTGAACTAACAGAGTTGATAGCTTCAAATATCTATGGTCTTCGAGGTTTGGTTGCAAAGAACATGGGATGAGAAATTCAGAGTCTGTGACATAGAACCATTTTCTTTGTTAACAACACGTGTAATCGATAATAACGTGTCCATGAACCGAGATCTTTTTTTTATTTCTTTGTTGGGCTTGAACTTAACATAACAATTGTTAGAACCAGTATTACCTTAAGCTAATCAAACATGTTATGTGAGAGTGGCGCTTTGTTAAAAAGCAGCATAGCACTTTCTCAAGAAAAGATCAGTAAGAGTACTTTTACGAATTGTTTTTAGCACACTTCACAGGGACTTTAAGCATACATTTTAAGTGACCCGCCATGCAAAGATTTAAATACCCGATTCACAACGGTACCCTTAAAAGCTCTACAAAAGTGAGCTGAGCATTTTTAAACCTAGAAAACTACAAAGGTCAACTGAAATTACGCTTACAGTCCCATAAAGATTTGCTTATGCAATTTTATCAAGAAATCAAAATAACTTGGAAAGCAAAAATAGAAATCTGGTCATAATTATACATCCGTCCATGTATTGAATGCTTCGTTGCGACCTTTTTCTTTTAAAACTAATCAGTAAACTCTATTGATTGGAATCCTTCATGCGAACTTGTTAGTTTTGATCAAAGTATCAATTTCAATTCATCAATATTCAATAAAACAGCATTCAAGCAGAAAAAAACAGAAATTAAAGGGAGTGTTTGCGAAAATTAAAAGGGGGTATAGGCTTACCTAATACGCTACTTATCTTACTTCTATCTATTGCGTCTATAAGGAGAAAATTGTTGAAAACGACTCATGTCGAAGAAAGTAGCGTCCATACAAATTCAGAAAGTAGCAACTCGTATTGTAAAATAATTAAGTTAATTTCAAACAAATCATTCAGATATTACAAACAATAGTCATCGATTATTTTTCGACGCATTCGTATAAAGTTAATATTTCATAATGTTTGTTATTTGTTTTATATACAATTCACTTAAAACGACTTTTTTTTGTTATGTGTCTCTGCCCGGTGTAATTATTCAAAGCATCGAGAGCTAAGACATTTGGCGGCCAACTATTTCGGCGTTTTAAGTACATTGTATACAAAACGTATGTTAGATATTAACTATATACGAATGCGTCGAAAAATAATCGACGATTATAGGTTGTAATATCTGAATGATTTGTTTGAAATTAAATTGATTTATTTACGATCCGAGTGGTATATTAAAACTTTCTGAATTTGTATGGACACTACGTTCTTCAATATAGTCGTTTTTAACAATTTTCTCCTAAATAGACGCAATAGATTGGATTCCAAATCAGATTTTGTGGCAATGACTTAATTTTTTTTTAAAATTATTATTTATTTTTATTATTATCGTTGTTGTTGATATTAAATTTGTATAGCATGATTTGCAAGGCTGAGACCTCGGACATTCAAATAAGTAGATACATTGGTAAAGAACAGGCGTAAAAAGTTCCCGGGTTGTTGTTATAATCTTATAGTCTCGTAATACGTGTTTTAAATGAAGCAAAACTTAATGAATCTCCACTTCTAAGATATTTTTTGTTGAAAATTATCCATTCTATAACTCCCAGAGTGAAACTTGAAAATTGCATGCAATTTAAGACTCACCACAAGTGGTATTATTGGTTACATCTTCAATTAACCTTCAGCAAGGTTAGGTCTCGTAAAAAGCAACAATTAGTTATGTAAAATGTAAAATTATAAAACTCTAAAAAAAATTTAAAGTCTAAAAGAGGAGCGTGCCTTGAATTCTTTAAAGTTCTGATAGTTAAAACTTTATTAGATTTATCTTCTTATACTTTCTTTCTTTCTCAAGTTTTCTTTAAAAATCAAAAACAAACATTCCTTCCTCCTTGAAATATAATAATAACTACAGAATATCAAAATTTCAGTATCTCACACATCATTTGTTATGTTTTGTTTTTATAAAGCATTAAAGAAATAATGCATTTAAACTATCTAAAGAAATTAAGTCTTTACCACAAACTCAAATTTTGTAATCTCTATATCCTTGCAACCTGATGGTGTAAAGCTTTGATATTTCAAACTTAGGTTATTCGATCCAACAGAATTAATAGTATGAAATATCTAAGGGTATCAGAGATTGAGTTGCAAAGATATAGGGATTCGAAAATCAGAGTTTGTGGCAAAGACTCAATTCCTTTTATTCTAATTTTCATCCAGGTGTACAGGTGTACAGGTGTACAGGTGTACAGGTGTACGTTGTTGTTTTTTTCTATAATGACTGCAGAAAACAAATTAAACCTCAAATTAACTTATTTAGAGATTTCAGGTCGTCATTAAAATCTGATTTATTCTGGGTTCCACCCTGTTAACATTTTATCAGGACTGAGCCCAAGATTAGTTTAACATATGTTGACTACTCATTCTATGAGGAAAATACTTGCAGTGAAAGTTAATTGTACGCATATATAATTACGCAATACTGACAACATAAATAAACAAGCTGTGTTACTCTAAACTATGGTTTCGGTGCGCACTGCATGCAGTAATTTACAGTACACTGACCAAAAGTTTGTGGGATAAAGTGGAGAGTGGCGTACTGTACACAAGTGCTTGAATATTCTTTACATATTCTTTACATATTCTTTCCGTATCCTTTCCATATCCTTTACATATCTTTTCATATACTTTACATATCTTTTCCATAAACTTTACATCTTATTTAAATATCTTTTACATTTTCTTTACATCTTCTTTCCATATCCTTTCCATATCCTTTCCATATCCTTTCCATATTCTTTCCATCTACTTTACATATACTTTCCATATCATTTCCATATCCTTTCCATATTCTTTCCATGTACTTTCCATATACTTTCCATATTCTTTCCATATCCTTTCCATATTCTTTCCATGCACTTTACATATCCTTTCTAAATCCTTTCCAGATCCTTTCCATATCCTTTCCATATCCTTTCCATCTTCTTTACATATTCTTTAAATATCCAATATATATTCTTTACATATCCTTTACATATACTTTACACATCCTTTATATATCCGTTATATATCCTTTTCATATCCTTTCCACATACTTTACATATCCTTTCCATATCCTTTACATCTTCTTTACATATCTTTTACATATTCTTTACATACTCTTTCCATATCCTTTCCATCTCCTTTCCATATCCTTTCCATATTCTTTCCATATACTTTACATCTTCTTTCCATATCATTTCCATATTCTTTCCATGTACTTTACATATCCTTTCTTAATACTTCACATCTTCTTTCCATATTCTTTTCATCTACTTATATATCCTTTCCATATCCTTTCCATCTTCATAACATATTCTTTAAATATCCAATATATATTCTTTACATATTCTTTTCCATTTTCTTTCCATATCCTTTCCATATCCTTTCCATATACTTTACATATCCTTTCCATATTCTTTCCATATACTTTCCATATCCTTTACATTTTCTTTCCATATTCTTTACATATCCTTTCAATATTCTTACCATATCCTTTCCATATCCTTTCCATATCCTTTCCATAAACTTTACACATCCTTTACATCTTCTTTACATATCTTTTTTCCATATTTTTTACATATCCTTCACATATCCTTTACATATTCTTTACATATCCTTTACATAATCTTTACATATATTTTACATATCCTTTACATATTCTTTACATATTCTTTACATATTCTTTCCATATCTTTTACATACCCTTTTCATATACTTTACATATCCTTAATATATGCTTTACATATTCTTTACATATCCTTTATATATTCGTTCTATATCCTGTCCATTACTTTACATATCCTTTACAGAATAAATATCCTTTGCATCTTCTTTACATATTCTTTACATAGCCTTCACATATTCTTTTCATATCCTTTCCACATACTTTACATATCCTTTGCATATTCTTCACATATTCTTTAAATAAAATTATATTTACATACTAAACTTGATTATTTTTCAGAAACGACTGAACAGGCTGTTGACTTCACAACAACATATCAATCCCTGACTGATTCAACAGCAACAGCAGCAGTTAAAGCAGCAACAGCACCAGAGTGCTTTAGGCAGGAGAAGCTTGATAGATTACTTTCTGCAATCGAGACATTAGGACAGTTCGCTAAATATGAACAGGTATTAGGACAGTTCGCTAAATATGAACAGGTATTAGGACAGTTCGCTAAATATGAACAGGTATTAGGACAGTTCGCTAAATATGAACAGGTATTAGGGAAGGAGAATCGAATCTATTTAAGAAAGTCCCGGGAAAAAAAGTTTCTGAAAAAAAACCGGAAATAAAAACTTAGGAAAAAAATTCCGAATTTTCTCAAGTCCTTGGAAAAAATGTCACTGGAAATAAAGTCCTGTGTTTTGGATTCCTGGGACTTTTTTCCTAAAAAAGTATGGGGACTGCCAATAGAGTCTTAGATAATAAGATCACAGGAAATAAAGCCCTGAGGAAAATATATCCTAAGAAAAAAAAACGAGAAAAAAGTCTAAATCTTGTGAAATTGAGGTCAAGTCTAAGACATTTTCATAAAAAAACTTTTTTACGCATTTGTACTTTGAAAATAGCCATTCGGGTGTTTTTTATCAATTGCCTCATTTTTGCATGATTGTAAACATCCGTTGTTCCGTTGTGTTTTCTACTATAATAGGACTTTTTTCTGGGGAGGTTTTTTTTATAAAATCATACTGGAGGCAGCAAAAAAATCCTAGAAAATAAAGTCTAGAATTGATAGGACTTTATTTCCAGAGACTTTTTAATAAATGGACTTTTTTCCACAGGACTTTTTCAGTGCGAAATATTAGGATTTTTTCCGGAAACTTTTTTTCCAAGAACTTTTTTGGCGGTTACCGGAGAGTAGACAGACAGACAGTAGACACTTTCAAAGAGATACAGACCACATAAAGCAGACAGTAGAAAATATGAAACAGAGAGTAGATAATAAAAACCAGACATTAGACAATATAAAAAAGACAGAAAATAATTATAAAACAGACAGTAGATAATATGAAACAGACAGTAGATTATATCAAACAGACAGTAGACAATATAAAACGAACAGAAGACACTATAAACAGAAGACACTGGATATTGATTAAATGAATAGACATTAGACACTAGAAATTAAACTCGAGAATTGACTATTGATAATAAACAATAATAACATGAAACTTGACGATTATAAGAATAACTGTTTTATTTATTTTAGGATTTGGTTAAATTCGAGAAAAGGATGAACAAAATGGCGAAGGCAATTAGAAATAACAAAGATTATTTTATTTTTTATTTTAAGATAGGAATATTTTTCTGAAATCAACAAAATATTAGTTTCATTAATATTTTTATTGCAAAACAGGCCTTGAAAAAACTAAACCTGGAGGAGAACGAAGAAGGAGATTTTGTAGAACCAACAACTACAACAACCACAACAACAACGACCACAACTACAACAACAACAACCACCACTACAACTACCACAACAACCACAACAACAGCTGATAACGGTCCTTGTCACGATGGTTGGTTATATATTGGAAAGAACTGTTATCAGATAGTTACGGACAGGTAAATATTGTATTTAATTTATTTAAGAGGTTGGGGCTGGGTGAGCAAAAAAAAGAGGAGTATTCCCCCCCCCTTTTTTTCTCGATTTAGTATTAACTCTAAAATGTATTCTGTACAGCACAGAACACATGATAAACGTGGAATTTTATGTAATAATTGTTATGTACATTGCACAATGTATAGTATGTACATTATACAGTATAAAATTTTACGAGACGTGGAACTGTATTTGTAATGTATATATGTACGTCTAACATTTCATGTAAGGATGTTTGTACTAGTCAATACGATCTCAGTCTACTCTGATTATTCTCAGTAAGAGTATTATCAGATTATTTAACACTAAATCTGTTAGAAAGAAGAGAAAAATTATATTTATAATAAAAAGCTTAACTCTTTTTATAAACATCTTTAAAAGGTTTCTCAAATTTGGATTATTTTTCATGGAAGACATAATAATAATATTTACTAAAAATATTATTTTTGGCATGTTTGACTAATCTCGTCAAGCAGCAATTACTTTCTATCTTCTTTAATCTTCTATGTTTATAAATATATGTAAAGATACTTGTTTAACCTTCATCCGCTCTTAACTACATTTTCGTATTCTGAAAAATGGTATTTGAATTTAAATTGTAATATATCTAGTGCGGAAACACTGTGTCTATGAATATATCTATAACCAGTATATTCTATCTCTAGTGCGGGAACACTGTGCCTATGGATATATCTATAACCAGTATATTCTATCTAGTGCGGAAACACTGTGTCTATGGATATATCTATAACCAGTATATTCTATCTCTAGTGCGGGAACACTGTGCCTATGGATATATCTATAACCAGTATATTCTATCTCTAGTGCGGAAACACTGTGTCTATGGATATATCTATATATCTATATATTCTATCTAGTGCGGAAACACTGTGTCTATGGATATATCTATATATCTATATATTCTATCTAGTGCGGAAACACTCTATATATTCTATCTAGTGCGGAAACACTGTGTCTATGGATATATCTATATACCTATATATTCTATCTAGTGCGGAAACACTGTGTCGATGGATATATCTATATATCTATATACCTGTATATTCTATCTAGTGCGACAAGCTGGGAAGAGGGACGCCAGCAATGTCTACTACAAGGAGCGGATCTAGCAGAAATGAATGATATTGAAGAACAAGAACAATTTACAAATTACATCAATGAATGGCGTAAGTTTTTTTTGAACATTTTATTTTCGGAAGTTTTTATTACGGCTAGTTTTTAAATAATCTGTTCAGTGTATTTATTCTAAATATTATAACTGCAACATGTATACTGCACGTTGAAAACTTGTTTATAGGATTCTACAGTGCATGGAGATTTGATTCTTTGCTAATTTAAAAGAAAAAATATCATGGTGAACGATTTTTGAAAGGCCGGAATGCATTTTTAGTTATCAGAAAATACTTTTTATTTTCTTTCTGATTGTTCATTAAAAATTTAGTTTCTTTGCATCATTATTCATGCATAAACAGGTTAAAGACATTTTAGTCTTGAATTTTGGGACACCCTGTATTAAATTGGATCAAAACTGAACCCAGACTAAAGAGGTGTACGCATTTTTTGTACTGCAGTGTACTGTCTCTGGGCTATAAAGTAGACAAAAGACGGATGTCAGTGCCATCTTTCACCTAGAAAATCAATGAAATATTCTGGTCATAGAAAACTATAATGTGAATTATTAAATTATCAAAATTTAATGCTTTTATCCTCCTCGGATACTGAACGAACACTGATGAATCGATTCTTGTTTACAAATGCCGCCCAGAGAGAACTGGTTTCAATAGGTACGCAGAGAATACGCAACCACAAATAACTTTCCTTGGCTTATTACCTTGAGGTATTATAGGTTATCTTTACTAATCCGGTTTTAAAGATTAGAAGATAGATGATTTTGTAAGATAAAAGACGACCAAAAACTGTTGAAAAAGAAGTTTTAAACAGCGTTAAAAACACTAAACACAAAGTATGATCAAAGATTAATTCAGTATTGTTAGTAATATAATTTTTAAATTAAAAACGTACATTTTTCCTTTGTAAATGGCACAATAAGTGAATTGCAACAGTATGGTCCCAACGGTAACCGCCAAAAAATTCCTCGGAAAAAAGTTTCCGGAAGAAAGTCCTAAAATTTCACACTAAAAAAGTCTTGTGGAAAAAAAGTCCCAGGAATCCAAAACACAGGACTTTATTTCCAGTGACATTTTTTTCAAGGACTTGAGAACATTCGGACTTTTTTCCAAAGTTTTTATTTCCAAGTTTTTTTTTCTAGTAACTTTTTTCCCGGGTCTTTCTTACATAGATTCAATACTACCTAAAAACCACACCAGGACTAAATTTAAAAGTAAACATCGTAAAAAGTCAAAAGCCAGAAAAAAAGTCTGAACAGCTAGGTACTTTGAGAAGATCTAATTTATAAACTTTTTATTGATTACTCTTCGAACCCACGATTGATGATTTCAAAATTAATATATTTCCGGAAACTCCGATTTAAATAAAAAATTTTTTTTTGCTTATTGGTTTTATGATTTTATTTAAAAAACTTGAAATGGATTGGATAGGTTCTACTTTCGTAGTTGGCCGTAGAAGAATCCTTCATCGTCAGCCTGTGACGGGTTACTCCAATACATACATACATATTTCCAAATATCTTTTTTTTATTACAGATGAGAACTATAAATAATTCAATTAAAACCCTTTTCCAGATATGTCCAATTATCCTGACAGCTGAGATGGATTATACAAATATTTTCTATAGACTCACAAAATCATTCACACTTTCCGGACACAATATTATAATTTTAAACCTGAATTTTATATTGATCAAAACTCGGCCTTGGAAGATGAATCCCTTCCCCCCGCGGCCTCCCTCTCAAGAAAGGATTTTTTGATTTTGTACAATACAGATTACAGTACACACTTAAAACAAATACCTGTACGGTACAAAGTACAGTAAAAGTAAAAATAAATTTAAAATATACATGCACTATCTACAATGTAAAGTTTACACTTTACATAGTTCAATACACTAAATTACACACTAAAATTTCAATACAACTTTACACTGTACAATATACGGTATAATTATCACACATTAAAAACATTCATAGTACAGTGTAAGCTGTGCGGAATAAAATACATTATAAGTATATAAACACTTTAAAGTACACACATGCACAGATCGCACAGAGCCCAATACTTAAGCAGGGTATCGTTATTAAAACCAGTTTTAAAACCCGGGTTTCATGAATGGGGTTAGGCAGTTTTGTGAATATCACTATTTTTGTTATGACATATTATTTAATTCAGTTTGTTTATATTCTCCATCTTTTTCGAATCTCTTAGAACAAAATCTACGCAAAGTTAAGACCCCAAAAAGGAAACTCAGGAGTTTCGTTCAACAATACTCTTTGAAATTTCGGGCTCAGAGGTAATAAGAGAATTCTGAATAGTAGACACTAAACATTATTTTGAGTTCAGTTAAAGCAATTTCATACGATGTTGGTGATTTTTTTTCTGCACATTAATCAAATTGTTGTGCAATTTTCTTAATGAATACAAAAAGGACGCCTGAGGTGGCATCGAAGGGCAAACCTAAACTGAAACATGAAATGTTCTCGTAAACAGTATTATAATGTCAAGTAAAAAGTACAACATAAAGGTATCAGTGACGATGCACGTTTTTAACTATTTAAACTTTAGGAAAGGACAAGTGCTTTGAATTCATAATGTTTTGATAATATTACTTGAGTTTTCTTATTACTTTAGTTTTCCTATTCAGAAAAGTTGATGAGTCATGTAGAGAATAAAGTGGGGCAAAACTTTCCACTCCCAGGACCGAGTAAAGGGTCATGAGATTGTTTTTTTTTACGTACTTTGGGAGACGATACTTTGATCTCTGGTCGTCTCACGTCAGATTCAATTATCTTAGTTCTAGATAGATAATTAAAACACATGCCACCCTCCACTAAGCATTCGGTCTGCCTCGTACTGTACACAACTTCTGAGATTTATTCTGTACCGTCATGACAATTGAAACAAAAACTTTGTACCGGCACGACTTTCATTACTAAACTTAGGTACAGGTGACAACAACGTCGTTCTCAGCATACAATTAGTCTAGATTTGATTTGAAAATAAGTAGATTTTGTATCATTGATAAAC